CCAAGAGAAATACTCAGTACCGAACGAAAGAGACCTTGCCGCAGCAAGCCCAAAAAAAATCCCAAAATGATGGACCACAAGATGAACCACAAGATGACCCACAAGATGACTCACAAGATGACTCACAAGATGACCCACAAGATGACCCACAAGATGACCCACAAGATGACCCACAAGATGACTCACAAAATGACCCACAAGATGACCCACAAGATGACCCACAAGATGACCCACAAGATGTAGACTCACAAGATGACCCACAAGATGACTCACAAGATGTAGACTCACAAGATGTAGACTCACAAGATGTAGTGCACTATATAAACGAATTCTTTACTAATTCACAAGATGTGGTGCACGACATAAATACATTCTTTACTAATTCACAAGATAAAGTGCACGACATAAACACATTCTATGCTAATTCACAAGATGTAGTGCATGATTTAAATACATTCTTTACTAATTCACAAAATTTAGTGCACGATATAAATACATTCTTTACTAATCCACAAGATGTAATGCACGATATAAATACATTCTTTAATTCACAAGATGTAGTGCATGAGATAAATACATTCTTTAATAATTCACCAAATGTAGTGCACGATATTAACACATTCTTACCACCAAATGGTTTGGAATATTACAATTTCCCACATTCTGATTTTCTACCATACAATGATTCACATAACGATTTTTTTTTCGATTCATATAATGAGTTTTTTTTCGATTCAAATAATAATTTTTTTTTCGACTCAAATAATGATTTTTTTTTCGACTCAAATAATGATTTTTTCGATAATTATGATCCTTCAAATAATATTTAACGAGATCGTTTTCTTTTTTCTTTTCTCTTTTTTTTTTCTTTTTTTTTTTTATTTATCGTTCACTTAATATATACATTCATATCTGATACACTATGAATTTAAAATTTAGCAACTATTAGATTATAAGACTTATCTGTTATAATTATCACTTTTTTTTATAGAGGCAAATAAAGTAGGTTACCGTTACCTATCAAAATGTTAATTATTTGACGAATCAAAATTATTTTTTGCAAAATTTCTAATAAAACAACCAAATCACATAATGTTATATGTATCTTACGCAAAATAATTTTTAAATAAATAAATAAGATGTAAAAATATGGCAGTATCTTAAAAGAATATAGGAATGATTTTGGTATTGTGGTCAACCCAGCATAGTTTTATTTAATTTAAAAAAAAGCTTCACTTCTACTGCTATACCAGTGACTTCTGGTTTGATATTCGTTTAGTTTGTTTGCTTGACTCAATGGGCTAGATAACTTATTTACTCTTTTTAAAATACTCTTAAAAATACAAATTTGATTATCATTTACATTAACTTATCGTTATAGAAGTTAATTGCAAGTCAGTGTAGATGTGACTAAGATCAAATGTGCGTGTGCGATATTGTTTATTAATTTAATATGAACCAAAGGTTAACAGAAAAATAGAATAAATTACTATTTAAAAGATGTAATTAAAACTTCACTGATAAATTATTCGTATATTGGATTTTATTCGCGTTTTGATTACATATCACTTACCGATTTGATTTGTTCATATGTATAAAATTGGATTCGTGTGGCATATTGAATGGGATTATGTATACAGTATGTTTAAAAAATCGTACGTAATCAATTTATCGTTACGCAGGCATTGGAAATTAACGTTAACCTGCCATAAAAACCACGATTATATCGAGGGTTACCTATATTTAATAATCAAAATTTAGAAAAAAAAAAATACTATATACAATATATAGTTATATATTTAAATTAATTTAAATCTAACATAAAATAAAGGAGATAATTTTAAAAAGAAAATTTTAAAATCGTTTATATAGTTACATGTAGAAATTTTTAGATCTTAAATATTTCGATATCGTTTGATTTAATTAAAATTTATCAAGTATAATATATTCATGTTAACTTCATAATGGCGATATTCTTTAAAATGAAATATTTAGTGTATCTGAAAAAAAGGAGAAAATTATTCGAATGTCACTTATACTATTAAATCTTATATCAGATATAGCATTGTCAAAAAACGATGAAAATAATTCATGCGAGTGTGCTTATATTGCTTCTGGGATTTTATAGTTATAATCAGTCTTGTCATGGGACACGGAAGCGGACGGCGGACAGTCCAGGACAGGACGTCCGCGGAGATGTCCGCGAACATTTTTTTGTCCCGAACAATTAAAATTATAATGTTTTCGATAAACTATATGACATGGACACCATCACGGACATGGGACATTGTCCGGGACATGGGACACTGTCCGGGAC